TGTTAGTGGCCATGCGCCATAGCCATAGACAGTTAGTGAGTGTGTATGTGTGTGTGCAGTGATTGGCGTGCATGGTATCCAGGGTGATCCGGAGTCGAGTTGCGTGTGAACTCTGAGTCGAACGTGTAAGTGAGGGYGCCCAGCGCCATAGCCCACTGAAGTGRRCTTGGATTCRAGTTGAGTTGCAAGCTACCATATCTCCGAGTTTGAGTTGGGTGTACAGCGCCAAGTTATTCTCCTCTGTTGCATGCATGTTTGAGTGTGAATTTGCAAGACTGATTACAAATAATAAAAATAACCAAAAATAAATAAAAAAAATAGTGAGTGTGCGAGCATGTTTTCGACACCGCCATCGTTGACGACTTTTCATTTTGTTTTGGCATAGTCAATGGCCTGAAAATTTACAGATGTGTACTTCACATAATGAAAAAAACACTAAAAAAGTTTCAAAAAATAATAAAATTGTATAGACCCCGAACTAAAGTGAAAACAAAAAGTAAAAAATGAAAACAAACGTGGGCGAGCACGTTTTGATACTGCCATCGTTGGCGATTTTGAAGTCTTATTTGGCTGAGCCAAATGACTTGAAAATTTATAGGCATGAACCTCAGGTCATAGAGAACTCACAAAAAAAAACTCAGAAAAAAAAAATTATGTTTAGGACCCGAAATATTTTTTGGTGGGGGCCGAACGTCGTCGGGTTCAGACCCCGTACGGGACCCCGAACGCCCGTACGTACGGAGGTCTGCCCGGGGACCTCCATACGTACGGGCTGGTGACCCTGATAATAATAACAATTTAATAAATGATGCACTACGGCCAACCGGGGAGGAACCGGCCCAGTCAACCGGCCGGTAGGACCGGTCCGGTTCCGGTTGGGGGCGGGCCCCGGGCCTACCGGGTTTGCAGCACTGGTTCGAACGTTGCTGTTCAAGTTTCGGTGTTCAAATTTTGTTGTTTGGAGCTTGAACTGCCCGTTGCCCCTGACTAAAACATTTCCTTTTTCTTTGCTGTTTCGAGTCTCTGTGAGAAAGTTCGCTGTTGGAAAAGGGTGTGCGGAAAGAAAAGAAGGAAAAATCCATGCAGCATGCACTGCGCATGGACTTGCGCAGCAACGCGCACCGCTGCATGCTGCACTCAGACACAGCACTGCACACATCGTGCTGGACGGTTATTGCACAGCATGCTGGTCGGTCATTGCACCGCACCAGTGCACTGTGTTAGTGCGCCGCAAGCTTGATTGAGACATGAACCAGGTGATTTTGTTCAGGTACCCATCGCCCACCTACCCCTGGAGGTCATAAATGAAATGCACGCATAGACCTCCGCTGCGTCGAGGCAAGGTGTTTCTAGGGCTCCTATACATACTACCTACACATGGCTCACACAGGCACTGGTAGAGGTGATAAGAGCACCTCTCACTGGTATTCACTTCACAGATGCTCCATGGTCGGGAGCAGCGTCTGCTACGGGTCCACGTGCATTACAAAACATACATACACATAGCCTGCGGGCACATACCTACAATACAGGACACTCACACATACATAACCATAGGGCTGGGAGGAGGTCACGAGCGTCTCGATGATAAGAGAGGGCATGAGTTACTGGTCGGTCTACTTAGGGGCTAATAGGTGATTGCTTGAGCCTGGCGTCCGAAGTTCCCGTACGACGAGGCTCGTTCGACTACGCTTCCACCAGGGCTGGGTCACTAGCCCTGGTGCCTGTCACTACTGTTCGGTCCAAGTTCCCCTCGATGGTAGGGTAATGGTCCTGAGTGCTGGTCACACTGAGGTAGGATAGTAGGAATAGGGGGTGCGCTAGGAGTATTGACGTGAGGATGGGATGGGAGGTAGCCCCGTCTCTTCAGGGCAATCATGGCTGACAGCTTCTGGCGATCAATGTGAGCCTAGTAACTGGCCTCTACAACACCCTGGACTTAAAAAAACAAAAAACAAAAAACAGGGTGAAAAAAGAAAACGAAAAAGCAAGCACAACCGAAAAGCACGAGTGGGGAAAAGGTATCGATACGTGGAGAACTTTAACCGACACCCAGTTCCATGCCTGACCTGCAGGTCGACCAGACTGAAGAAATTGTTCGGCTGGAAAGCTTCATCGCACACCAGCGCCTCCAGATCTCCATCGGTCACAGTCTGGCACAGCACAGCAGATGATGGAAAACCACCTGTAAGAATTTTCAGGAAACTATAGGAGAAATGAAAGCAAAAAGAAAAAAAACCTCATTGCTCTTTCCAGAACTCTGAAATTGGGAACAGACTCAACAGATTGCTCAACTCGATTTTCTCGAACAGGTCAGTCAGCAATAACAATAAGACCGTCTCAAGAAATCATCCGAATATTCCATGGGGCCTGCGGTGAGAGGCGGAAAGATAATCATCCTTGCCATTTCCCGGAAGTCTGTTTGTAAGTAGGAGTACAGCCAGGATGTTTCAATTTTCAACCACACTTCAGTCAACATAAAAAAAAAAAAAAAAAAAAAAAAAAACTGTGGTTGAAAAACACCCTACGGTCAAAAAACACCCTGCGGTTAAAAAACGCCCTGTGATTTTGAAGTTGGCAACAAGAACGACAACGGTGATTTGAACTCCAAAATCATTCCAATTTCCAACACACCGCTCAGATTCCCAGCCAACATTTCTCAACCGACGTTTCAACTTCCAACCACACTCGGTTGGCCGAGCACCGCTGCACCGGAGGAGAACATGCCCTTGCGGTTCAGGTTGCAGGTTTGAATCCTCCGGCCCGCAATCCGGTGCGTTGGCATCGGGATGTGCCACACGGTGCTACTTAGAGCCATTCGCACACAACAAATGACCAGAATAGCCTGGTAGGTAGGGCGCATGCATTGTTTGATGCGCGGGTTCGAGACTTGCCGCGCTCAGATGAGCGCTTGTGGCGCATGCTACAAACAGGCGAAATAGCCCGAATTGCGCACGCTGATTGGACTCCAGCGCATTCACATCTTAGCGTTGGGTACCCCTCGGGGGGACAGTCCTATAGGTTGTGTAGGCTGTTTTATGAGCGGCTCTGGGTGTTCTGCAGTTTTCCCTAGTTGTCTTCGTTGTCGGCCTGGTGGGTTGTCCTGGTTGTCGTCCTGGTCGTTCCAGTTATTCGGGGCGTTCTAGTCGTACTGGTCGTCTGTCTGTCCGAGTTGGGGGTGGGGTATGTGTGGGCATTCCATGGGGTGGCCTCATAACTCTCTCATGACGCACACAGTGTGCTGGGCAAGGGGTGGACCACGTGGACTGTCCTGGTTGTCATCCTGGTCGTTCCGGTTATTCGGGCCATTCTACTCCTACTGGTCGTCTGTCTGTCTGATTCGGGGGTGCGGTATGTGTGGGTTTTCTATGGGTTGGCCTGATGACTCTCTCATGGTGTACACAGCGTGAGGGTCAACGGGTTCACCGAGCGTCTGGGTAATGCAAAGAGTCTCCTGGTGGTCCTGGTTTAATTCAGTACCCTCCTACCTGGGTGACGTGCATGGGTTGACCGCCTCGATTGCCTGGTCAGGGCCCCTGATCCATACCTCAATATATATAATAAACAACAGCATTGACCACAACAACAGCAATAACAACAACAACAGTGTTTGAACTTTGAAAATCATTCCAACACATTCATTGCTCAGCGTCCCAGCCGATCGGTATCTCTCAACTACTGACCTCTGTGCATAGCAGTTGTACAATAGATTAAAAATGATCATAATGAGTCAACATTACACAATATTGGTTATTAATGACTCATGAGCTAATATAAAACCACTGCGGCTGTTACAGCCTCCAAAGTCAACGGATCTTGGCCATTGAGGAAAACCGAAGAAAAAAAAAAAAGAACACACACACACACACACACACACACGCACACACACACACACACAAACACAGAGAGAGAGAGCAAAAGATTGCAGATATTAGCGCAACTTCTGCTAATTCATCTTGTGATGTGGAGAATCTTCTCTCCTCGTTGACCCATGAAGAAGATTTATTGAGCTCTTCAACACAGGATGATGGGACACGGAACCAAAGTCTGGACAAAAGAGATCGCTGGCCACTCATATCTGATGCCGACCGGTCGGGGGTTGTCGGCACCCCACAATTTTATTTTTTAATTTTTTTATTTGTTTGGGGGTCCAGAACCCCAATAACCACACCAACACCGCCATACCGGCCCCAAATACCCCCATACCCATCGCCAATACCCCCATACACCCCCAAACCGCCCCCCAACACCCCCATGCCCCAAAATACCCCCTATACCACCCCTATACCCCCCTATAATGCCCCCCCCAACCCCATAGCTCCCCATATCCTCCCCCCCATCCCCAAAAGTTGCTCAGCGGATTTGGGCTGTACTCAGCAAGCGCAGTACCGCCCCCAACTCAGATTTGAAAACAAACCACTGGATGGCTGCTTTCTGACTGGTCAGCAGACCACCGACCTGTCAGCTCTACTGGTCGGCTGCAAATGCAACCCTGAAAGTAAAAACAAAGAAACAAAAACTCAGCAGGCACGCACTTGTCCTGACCACTCAAAATCCAGCCTTTTCTTTCTCTTCTCAGACACACCCCATGCAAATTACAAACGTGCGCCGGGGGAAGCGGGTAAAGGGGGGAGGGGACGGGGGTCCTTGCAAAACAGGTGGTTTGCCCTCGAGCATTTGCAGTAAGTGCACCTTACCTTTTTCTTATCGGCAAGAGCCTTGAAGCGCTTGAACACGTCACTTAGTTTCTGCGTGTCCAGATCATAGCCCAGCTGGGAGACACACATGCCACACAGACAATGATGTTGGTGTCAAAATTTCTATATTGCTGAACTATTTTGTATTTATTACTATTTAATTAATTATCAATTAATAATTGAATTAATTAATTAACCAACTAATTAACTAATTAATTAATTAATTAACTAACTAATTATTAATTAACTAATTAATTAATTAACTAACTGATTAACTAATTAATTAATTAACCCCTCGAATGAGAATCAGGAGAGGGAGCTAGAGATACTACATGCTAGGCACATGTAGCTGGCACTAGCTGCTGATAAGAAGGGGATCGTGGGGTCAAACGTCAAACTTAAAAATTCAAAATCATGGATCGTAAAAGAGGACTCATCTCCAAAGTGCTAGCGAAATTCTGTGTTGTCATGGTTTTTTCTACTTTGCGGAATCACATGTAGCTGTTGATAAAACAGGTCATGAGGTGAAACCATGAGCGGTGGGAAACCCCCTCCCTCCCCATCCTCTTTCCACCCCTTCCGCCTCATTTGTGGCCTATGATTTGTTCACCTAGAGGGGGAAAGAACAGAAACAAATGAAAGGGGGGGGGAGCTAGAAAGGAGACTAGATTATTTTGGCAAATGAAAGAAAAACATGTGACAGAACAAAACCCAAAAAAAGTTTAAAAAACACAAATCGAGCTAAGTTACCTCCCATAGACACACAGCCGGTTTTCAGGGGGCTCCATGTGCATGGGCTCGGTGTGTGTGGGGTTTGTGCACTGCAATAAGTATTCTGCAAAAAATGATTTCATTAGCATAACTTTTGATTTATACTTTTAACGGCAAAGTTTTCACAACGTCAAAATCCATTTGGGGGAAACGCGGACCTTTTTTTCCCTTTTTTTGGGGGGGCGAACCGCAGAGTCGCAGACCTTGCTTGACCTTTGGCACCTGTCAGTAGCCTCCGACCCACGATTTCATTCTTAGCAAAAGCAAATGACGTCGACGACGCAAAAGCAAAAAACTAGGTAATTCAGGAGAACACCCCACAATCGGCGCAATGAAACCGATTTCAGTCTCTCTTAACGCTTTCACCAACCTGTGTCCACAGACTCCACACGATACAATCCAGAAATCTCTCTCTCTCTCTCTCTCTCTCTCTCTCTCTCTCTCTCTCTCTCTCTCTCTCTCTCTCTCTCTCTCTCTCTATTTAAAAAAAAAATCAACTTCTATGGCTGATGGCACCATAATTTCACCACACGCTGATGCGGGAAAGCAAAAAAAGACCCCCCGACTCCATCAGGCAGCTTGATCGGCGTGCTTGGGCCAAAGGATGTCACTCGCTCCCCAGCCAAATTTCCACGCAGTGACAAGGGCTAGGAGTATGGAATAACAGCTCCCTCTACAAGCCATCGAAGCCCTGACTTGGATCCGGCTGCGCTTCTTTTCATTTTTTTCCCCTGTTTTTTTACTTCTTCCTTTGATCCTTTTTTCTCTTTTACTTTTTCCGTTTTTTTAACACTCCACCGTTGTGTATGTTAGCCATGGTTAATGTGCCAACGGAAAGAACGAGAATAACAACGGCCAAGATATACTTGCAAACTGTTTCTGCTCTTGCTTAAAAAATTTACTGGTTAACATCGTTAGTCGCAGTTTGCCCGTAGGTCAGCCATTGGTAGAAAAAGCTCCTGAAGTAATCCAAAGATTCCAAACGTGGATTCATGCAAAAACCAACTGAGTTATAGGCCCATGCTTGGAAAGACTTGAACTCTCAACCCCCAAATCCGTAGTTTGGTGCTCTATCCAATTGAACTGCTGGCTCTCTCGGTGTAAACGAGGCACTCTACCAACTGAGCTAGCAAATTTTATCTCTTTTTTGCTGCTCTAGGTTGCGGAGCTTATTTATTAGCCTTAATAGGAGTAGTAACCAGCGTTATTAGTTGCTTTTATTATATACGTTTTGTGAAAGTCATGTATAGGTGGATGATCCAAATGAACCGAGCAAGGGCAGGACAGGAATAGAAAGCAGAAGCTGCAAGGGGTATAAGATAATCACATCGCAAAAAAAAACAAAAAGAAGTCATTCATCAGCTGTACCTGCTGGAGGCGTGTCTTCAGTGCATGCCGGCCACTGCATCATACACACACACACAAAAAAAAAAAAGTTTCTGAGCCATCCGGAAGGGATGAAAACTCAAACCTGAGGAGCCAAGTCAAACACACAAGCCAAGCTGTCGGCAAACTCACATGGTTGTGTGGGAAAAAAATTACACGAAAACTCTTATAAAAAAGATGGATAAAGAAAATTAACACAACATTGAAAAGTGCGCGATGCAAGATTTAGTATTTAGTATTTAGTATTTAGTAAAAATAAAATATTATTATTTCAAACATATTTTGGCCTCTGCAAGAAGGTCCCAAAATCTTGTTTGTCGAAGTTGTAGAAGTCATAAACACTGATACTTCTGGGTTCATATAAAGTATTTTAACTTCTTTTTTCCCAGCGTCATTGTTTTCTAATTTTAATTTAATTAATAGTGTTGGTGCGCTGGCCCATAGTGGACAAGAGCCAGGACCATAAGGACCTGTTTGTTAAAACAAAAGAAAAAAGCACCACCACCGCCAGAGAAAGCCTCATCTTACGAGGGTGTTCATAGGCGGCAGCATACAGCGTTGCAGTTTCCCAAGGCCTTTTTTTTTTCTTTTTTTTTATGGCCCGATGGACCACGGATCAGATATTAAACTGATCAGAACGGATACTACACTTGATCTTAGCCAAAAGGCCGAGAAAGGTATATATTTAATATATATTGTGGCCCTTAATGTAATTTTCTCCTCCTTTAGATTCATTTTCTGCCCTCTGAGCGCCTCTGAGATAAACCTCTCTGACCCTTAAATGATTATGAATTTCTCCTTCAGGCTTTTGCAAGGTTCCGGCCTCGGTGGCGCAGAGCAGGGCCCGCCTGCGCAGTATTGCCCCAGCCCTAGGCGAAGGCCGGGGCCGAAACGCTGATTGAGCCAATGCGAGTGACAGCGGCATCCCTCCAGGCAACAAAAGCTTAGGAGGCAGCTGTAACTAGCATGGGCCGGGCTATTCTGCAGTTCTCAAGTCGCTGACTAGGAGCGCTCAAAATAGCACAGCTCCAAGAGTTCGGGGGAGGGTTGACGAAGACAACGGAGAATGGCCACCGCAGTCAAGCGGCCAGCCAGCAACAGCCATAGGTGCGCTGGGAGGATCAACAGAAGGCGCTGGGGTTGGGAGGACAATGGGAAGAGGAGAGCAATGAGACGTGGGATTTACCTGGTCATGGGTGATGATGAGCAAAGATGGCGTGCATGATCAGACTCTGAGGCATCGTTGGGCGAGAGGAAGAACGGGCAGAGACAAGAAAGAAGCGAGAGAACGAAAGATTGTAGGTAAGGTAGGGAGATAGTACAGGCGGTCACAGCATAGAAGAGCAGCAAACTGTTGTTGTATTGATTATTGGAGGAGTTGGCTTTCAATATCAAGGGACTTGCATGTCTGTTCTCCTTTTTTTCCAGATATTAAACTGATCAGAACATACCACACTTGATCTTATAGCCAGCCACTATAGCTAAAAAGAATGTAGAGCCATATATACCACCTTTCTCGGCCTTTTGGCTAAGATCAAGTGTAGTATCTGTTCTGATCAGTTTAATATCTGATCCGTGGTCCATCGGATCACGCAAAAAAAAAAAAAAAAAAAAATCTTATAGCCAAAAGGCCTCCCGATAAAGGGACTTGCACTTGCATGTCTCTTCTCAGTTGGTGTAGTTTCGGCTTTGAAATTCTACTTTGGATACTTTGCTCGTACATGCTTGTTCTACTTCGGTGTCGTTCACTGGTGGAGAATTTGCATTTCTCGTCGAGTGGTTCGTTGCACTTTAGTTTATTTTCCCGCCCTCTGGACCCCCCCACACAGTTTTCTATCTAAGCCCTCCACTGTGATGATGCTTCATCCGAGGCTCCGATTTCTCCTGCGCTACCTGTAGTTCACTTTCCCACCCTCAGAACCGCACGTGAACTCAAAGTTCGTTGAGCAGGAGAGAGAAAGCTCGCAAAACAAACTGATAATCTATCACCAAAATAGTGCGGCCATCCATCGCTCCGGCTCACCTCAGTTTTCCCAACACCAAACCAACTCCATCGTGCCGTACAATCCCGATGTCCTCCGGTGACATAATTTCATAGGTTCCTTTGTTCTTCAGCATGCCATCCTGTAAGCATTAAAAAAAAAAAAAAAAAAAAACGGATTAGACCATATCTAAGCAGTGGCATTTTGGGAAATCGAGAAGTTGTTCAACAAAGTTTTCAAAAACTTTGAATTGTAAAGAAAAACTTGTATTGTGGGATTCATTTTCGCCTTTCTTCATCGGTCTATTACTACACAAACTCTGATCTGCTTCTGCGCTCAAAAACATGAACCTTGAGACCAGGTGGTACACACCTGTCGAACAGACCATAAGTTCAAATCCTGAGGTCATCAGATCGATACACTAATGTTAATAGGATACCCTCTCTTGGAAAGAAAAGAAAGAAATGTAATGACCCACCATAACACAGACTGAGAACACTGCTGATTTCTGAAGTTCTGCCGATGGAATGGATGCCTTGCTGAGATTCCCGCATTCTGCTGTGTTTTCTAAG